TATACAATCCAAGGAACACATAAGAATTTGAAGGCAAGATTAGGATTGCTCTCCTAGCACAATCCTGGGAATGCTTTCTTAAAAGTATCTCTGTATCAAGGCACAGAGTAATGACTAACATGCAAAGAGACAATCCCAACACCTGAAAATATAATATTGTTTTAATATTTAAGTTCTAAAATCAGTGTGGGGGCTCGGAGTGTGGCAGAATGTAGAATGTTTGCCTAGCATGGCCCTGGGTTCCAACCTAACACTGTAAAAAACGACAATCAGAGTAATGAAACATCTTTAAAATTGTGTTGCTAGGGGCTAAGTCCCTCACAGCATCCCTGTGTGGTGCAGCACAATTGTCGATATTCTGTCAATTATGTTTTAAATAAATGCTGATTGGCCAGTAACCTGGCAGGAAGTATAGGCAAGACAACCAGACAGAAAGTAGAGGTGGGTCAATGAAAACAGGAGAATCCTGGGAAAAGGGAAGCAAGCTCCCTCTGCAGTACTTTCCCTGACACCGAAGAAGCAAGATGTGACTATGTTGCTGAAAAAGGTACTGAGCCATGTGGCTAACATAGACTAGAATTAGAATAGGCTAATACAAGTTATAAGAGTTAATAAGAAGCCTGAGCTAATGGGTCAATCAGTTTATAACTAATGTAGACCTCTGTGTGATTTCTTTGGGAATTAATGATCGTGGGAACCGGGCAGGACAGAAAACTCAGACAACACCTATGTGTTCTGAAGCAGCTACAAAACAGGGGTTTGGCCATGAGGCCTTTCTTTAGTCTCCAAAACTATCACATGTGTTTGCAGCTAGTCACCACATCTACCAGCAGGATGTATTTAAGAAAAAAAAGAAAGAAAGGAAGGAAGGAAGGAAGGAAGGAAGGAAGGAAGAAAAAAAAAGAACAAGTGATTAAGCAGCAGAGCCAGGAATGAGAGACATAAGTCTATATGACTTCAAAGCTTATGATTGCTCTACTAATAAAACTTCAGATAGTAGAAATGTAATTTATAAAGACATTACAGAACATGATTATGCCACTCTGATCTCATTTAGGCTACTCAATCCCTATGCTGTGATTCTACTGAATTTGAAAAACAAACTTCAAGTTTGACATAGTGGTTCCTGCCTGCAACCCCATCACCTGGAAGCATTCAGAGTTCAAGGTCAACTGTGGCTGTGTATTGGAAACTTGTCATAGGATGATAACAACGACAATGATAAAGGAAGAAAGAAACCTTCATAGGCACAACTTATCATTTACTTTTCATTTCTCCAAAAGAAATTCATGCATTTTACTGAGAGATGGGCTTCCACAGTATTTCTGAACATTACCTTAAAGTACACAGAAGTCTGAAACAATAAATACCAGTTACTAGGTGAGAAGCTGTCTATGCCGTATGTTATAGTCCCTGGGTACCTATGCACCTGGAGGCATCTGATCCTGAATTATTTAGACATTTTATTTTACAGAAACCCATCATATATTTGGTTAAAGACTGAAAGTGAAACCAGTCAAGGGCTCCCGACAGCTCCGTGTGTCTCCTTTACATAGACATGAAAGCGCAGGGCACTGTCACACACTGCTACTGACATGCAAGCCACGAGAACGGGAACACACGAAATCACCCCAAGAGTAGGGAAATCAATTTTTTTCTTTTCTTGTGGAGGGATTGGGGAACAGTTTCACTATGTAGCCCAGAGTATTCTCAAACTCAGTATGTGGTCTGGGCTATCTTTGAACTCATGGTGATTCTCCTGCCTTGGCCCAAGTGCTAAGATTACAGGTGTGTGCCACACCTCAGTCAGCATTCAAATAAAGTTTCCTTAGATAACATTGCTTCTTCTCAAAGCAAGACAAAAATATTAACAACCCAGTGATGTGGGAATTCCCTCTGTGTGGTGTAATTATCATTAATAAATAAACAAACTGCTTTGGACCTATAGCAAGGCAGAACTTAGGTAGGCAGCGAAAGCTAGGCTGAATGCTGGGAGAAAGAAGGGCGGAATCAGAGAGAAGCCTGGAGCCTCTGGAGACAGCTGCTGGAAACTTTACCAGGTAAGCCACAGTCGCGTGGCAATATACAGATTAATAGAAATGGGTTAAATTAATATAAGAGTTAGCCAGTAAGAAGCTAGAGCTAATGGGCCAAGCAATGATCTAATTAGTAGTTTCTGTGTGAGTATTTCAGGGCTAAACAGCCGGGAATGAACAAGAAGCCTCCTCTAATAACCCAGAGAGGAAGTATCATGGTGTTAGTTATGCAAAAATTTGACGATTATAACTTCCAGCTTTTATTCAGAGTTCAGTGCTCTCCAGGCATCAGGACACTCTGCACTAAATCTTCCTGGCAAATTTTAGAGGCTAAATGAATTTAATAGTCTTACCATTAAAGGTTAATGCTTTTGTCTATCTAGAATGTTTTTCAGTAAGAGATGGGTTATATACTATTTCATTAAGCAAATGGTTTAAAAATTAAAACACAAGTATTTTTCCAGATATTAATTAAACATATACCAACCTAACTGTTGTTCAGCCTAAAAATCATACTTCTTTATAGCCAAAGCAGGTATTTGAACATTCATTAGAAGCATAAGAAATGAGAAACTTGGTTTTACAGCATGTTAAATACTGTATGAAGCCAGTAATACAATTTAATTCCAAAGTTATAATCCCAGTTCAAAAGTTATAATTTAATTCCAAAGTTATAATCCCAGTTACTTAGAACATTATATCATCCCTCATTTAAACAAACTAGCATACCATCAAAACCAAAAGTGCTATGAAGCAATGTTTTTTTAGAAAAAAAAAATGGCATTTAATCATTAAAAGGCATAATGCCCTGAAGGTTGAGGAGCGCAAGCTAGGCATGTTTGCTCTAGGTTATAAAAACATCGTCTTGTGGGCTGTGCCTTGCCCTGGGTGACTCCATTTTATGCAACAGCATTTGCCCCATTTCAGGAGAAAGTGCTGATGCACAGGGACTTTATCTGATCTGTACAGGCAAACAACTACGATCCTTATAGCACAAATCATGGCACAGACCAACAGCTAGCTTAGTCACGCCGAGTAAAACATTACCTACAAACTTAGCAAAGGAAATGTGGTAATGGGGCATGCCAAAGCTGACCCAGAAAACCAGGTCCAGGGACACAGCACACACAGCAGACAAAGGAAGGCTGACACACCCACACAGAGGAGGAAGGAAACCTCACATTGAGATGGCGGCACCCACCTGACATAAAACCATCAGGAACATAAGATTAACCTGCAATGAACTTGCGACTCTGTCCCTAAGAGGCAGGTTAATACACTTATTTGGCATGCTTGCATTGCCATTAATCTGGATTTGGACCTTGAATCAGCTCTGCCCTGAACAGCTCTGCCCATTTCCAGCCCATAAGCTTTGTGACCGGGTTCCGTGATGCCTTACCAACTACTTGGTCTCTGTCTTGGTCTCCAGCTCTCTGGTCCTGCCTTCCTAGGCCCTCCATAGCCTCCTCACTCCTTACCTTGCCATTCAGTGCCCTGTATCTCCTTACATGAAGTACATGTGTGACCTTTAGACTTAAGGCTGGAATAAAAGAACCCGTGACTGCCAATAACAGTCTACCAAGCAAAATCAGAGGTATGTGGTAAATTACAGTCAAGAAAGTCGACCTAGCTCATACATGCACTTTTATTAGAAGTTAGAAAGTATTTTTAATTCTTTTAAATTATGTGTATATGGGGTAGGGGTAGAGGAAAGCTGTGCACTTGAGTGTAATGCCCAGAGTCTGGAAGAGAGCCTTGGATCTCCTAGAGCTGGAGTTACAGGCAGTGTGAGCCAAGAAACCTAGGTTTTAGGAACCTAACTTGGGTCCTCTGTAACAACTGAGCTCTCTCTTCAGCCTTGGGAACACTATTGTTCAATAACTCCTGACACTGTGGAAAGAGAAGCATGTCTATTCTACAATAAAGCCCATTTACATCACTAGTGCACAGCAGTGGGGAGGGTCACAAATTTGAGGCCAACCAGGGCTACACTGCAGAAGCCTGTCTGAAAAGGAGGTTAAAAAAATGAAGAAATGCTTACTGTAGTTAGCATTTTCCTGTGACTGTGACATAATTCTTTTAACTGCTTTCAATAAATTCATATTAATATTTTCTTCTTCATAAGAGCATCACACATGAAATTTATGATACATATACAAAGGCAGAATTTTAAAATCTGTATATGAATTTGTAAGGCTTCTGCTATAACCCATGGGAAAATAAAATGTCCAATCTCTGCATAAAAAAACAAACAAACAACAAAAAAAATAAAATCAGCTGTATGCTTCTGATTTTATCAAACTCAATTTCTAACCAAAAGATGCAAATAAATTAAAACAAAAAGAAACTTGGTATCTTAATTGAGAAAAATAAAGGTTAAACATTTATATAAATAAAAATGGAAATTTAAAAAACCCACAAACAAGAAAACACCAGTTCAGGTGACCAAAAGACATCTTACAACATTTAGTCCTTAGAAAGAGAATAATGAATGGACATGCATAAGGCTCTTACCCAAATTTGGAACTCCAATGGCACACTACTGAACAGGAAAGCAGCAGAGGAGAGTTCATTATGGAGCTACGTTTAGAGCACTCTAACAATACCCTGCTTTCCAGATGAAAGTCACTGTGCAACTCTCATGTGCAGATGTTTACTCCAGACTACTCTCCCACCCCTCTTATCGAAATGTCACAACCACCTTGACTAGATCGATCTGACACATTTATTAAATACGGCTACATCAAAAAACCCAAAGATGTAAACATAGGTGATTTCACAATCACCCTATCTGATCAAGAATGAGTAAGTTCTGAATTTTGATGGAAAATGAAGCTTTCGTTTCCTTTGATAATACTAATTTTGTACTACTTTTTGACAGCTTGAACACAGTGGCTTATCAGATAATTAGGCATGGTGACACCTAAGCAACGGCTTTTAAAAATTCAATTCTGAATGACCTACCCCTTCTTGTTTAGTGAAGATGTTGAGGCAGTCACTCAAAGCCACACAGGTCTCTCTGGAAGCTTCTGAGACAACTTCGGCTTTCTGAAGAAATGATGGAAGCATGTCTAGAAACAACACAGGTGGGCACACAGTGAGATGTGAAGTGATTGCTACAGCAAAACCACACAGCACTCTCTAGTCACTACCTAACTCCAGTGTCCTCCCCACTGTGCAGACGTGGACATGTTGTGCTTCTTCCTACTGTAGGCAAATACCTGCTGCCATGACATGCTTCAGTTAGTACCAAAGAGAGCAAGTCTCTGACCAATCTCCACCCCAGAAGAACGGATAGCACTTTACAGTTTTGTGATGCTTAGGGAAAGCAGACAACAGGGGCAGCAAGTGCTGCTTATAACACAGCATTTCCCTCATGACAGGCACTGCTGGGTAAGTAATTTTATTCAAAAGTGAAGTGCTAAAAAGAGACAAAAATAATTCTGTGGCTGACATGGAGGCTAACATATCTGAAGGCAGCATTAATTCAACTTCCTCTAGCTCTTATTTGGAAAAATGTTTGGCATAAGGGGATATTTGTACTTTCAAAAATGTATCCCGTATGCTTAAGCTAGGAACAAAGAATAAAATGGCAGGACAAATCTTAATCATGTACCCATTTAAAAAAAGGAAAGAAAGAAAGAAAAGAAAAATGACAGAGAAAGAAAGAAGAAAAATGCAGGTGAGAGAAAGCTGAAAAATAGACATTTATCACTCAAAATGAGTAAAGTGCTATGAATATCCTGTCCAGATTTACGCAAGAGAAATGCTTGGCTTTTTGAAAATTACACACTAAAAATCATTTAAATTTATTCTTCCAACCAGATAAAATTCTTAATTATCTAATAAAACTTAATAAAATAAATCTGAAAAAGAAAAAATATGCAATATTCTTTGCATTTCAAATCATCTTGACTTATTTAAACAATGCTGCAATGCTAACACTATAAACAAAGCCAATTCAGCCAAAGAGAAACTTAAGGAACATCAGGCCATCAGCAGTAGGTCCCACTGAGATGCCAACACTTCCAGCTGGGAAGGAATGGTTGTCGAGGAGGGATGTTTAGGATCTCAGGCACATCACTAAGAACACGTGTGCAAGTATTTATGTCACCACGAAGGGTGGTAAACCCTAAGCACCAATTTTCCTTAGTCTTACTTCCATTATTCCAAAATTGTCTACATTAATATGACTTAGGGAAAGGGCTCCTATATAGGAAAAAATATGTATCCAAACTCTTAAGGCAGAAGTGAGCAACAAAAGGAAAAAATGGTAAACACAGAAATGAATCAGGGCAGGCAGCCCCACAGGTCCCCCAGTGACAGCTGCTCTGAACATACACATGGTTGAGCGCTGCAATGCTCTGGAATAGACTTTACAGACTCAGTCTTTCATTTGGGATCTTTGGTATACACCTCAAGGTTTATTCTCTACATGCTTGTTAAATGCCTAAGAAAGTAGCACATGCTGGATGGCTGGTCTTCAGCAATAGAAAATAACAGATGTCACACACAACTGTGAGACACACAGGAGGAAAACAGACCCAGCCTTCGCCTTCCATAAATGTTCTGGGTAATCTAGTAATTTTCCACTTTTGTGACACAAATGACATTAAGATTAAATCATGGATCTGTTTTTTAAGAAAGTACCACCACACACGTAATCATCCCCAATAAAACCTACCTTATAGATAAATTCTGATTTAGATATTTCATTAATACAAAACAAATATTATTCAAACACATAAGGAATACTTAAATGTACTTCAGTAAACTCATTCTCCAAACCTTCTAAACACACACACACACTTCATTTCCCTGGCAAACTACTGCTGAAACAAGGTCTTGAGGTAGTTTGCTTAAAGACCTGAGGACCCCTGGTTGAGGACTGACCTCAGCATTACACACGACCAGTTCACACAGGAATGCTTCTCAGACGATCAGGTCTATATACTGTAACACAGTGAGAAAGACCACCTGACCTCTTGGAAAGGTGAACAGCTAAAATCGTTTTAAGCTGTTAATATTTGGAACCTAACCTGCCAAGCAAAAATGCAAAATGGCTACTATGCTACCTTATTTGCCTCACACAATAATATAACTGATAATTGTGAGGTGAAAATTATTTTTGCACTAAAATTATTTTTAGTCATGAAAGCTGTGAGAAGATCATACTGGAAAAATCTTAACTTTAGAGACATAAAAAGCTCACAACCTGTCGTTTTCATGATTATACTGTGCAAATTTTAATTGGGAAAGCTTTAAAAACATCAAGAACATAATTGTTTCTGTCTATGCAGCATATTAAATCTCAGTTTAGGCAAGCTTCTATCTCAGAACAAGCCCATGAATCTTGTGATCTTGAAGACACCATCAAGTCAGGCTGTTTGCTTCCAAACACTTGTTTACCTGGAAGAGCCTCCTAGTCCATCCCTCCCAAACCTTTGTTCGAGGTATTACTTCTCTAATTGTCACTAATATTAATAAGTTTCCCCAACTGGAAAATACATATATTAATAGATTTCCAAACCGTAGTTCAAATGTCATTCTCCTAGGAAGCCTTTAAAGATTTATATTGGGCTTGATGACAATGCCAATGAATGCATTTGCCACTCCACCTTGCTATTCATATACACTCTTACTACACAGCCTACCTGCTGAACTATCGCTGATCTACACATGTGCACACACATGCACATGCATAAACACACACACACACACACTGAGAATAAAAGTAATCTTTCAGTCTGACTTTACTACCAGATCTACACATGTGCACACGCATGCACATGCATAAACACACACACACACTGAGAATAAAAGTAATCTTTTAGTCTGACTTTACTACCAGATCAGAATCAAATGAACTCCTCACAAAAACAGTATTCTTTCCTGAAAAGAACAAAATGAGACATACAAATAAAAAAAAAATCTTTTAAAAAATATCTGTATAAAATTGTAACTTGAAAAAAATCCAAGAAATATGACAATATACATGACCCAAGAATATAAATTTATGTACTGGCTCAAATTAAGATGTTAGTTTCAACATCAAAGCCAAGGATGTGCCAGCAACATTGCGTAGAGGAATGGGGACAGGAGATGGAGTCACTTTACTGAAGGATCTTAAACATGGATTCGTACAGCAAGAACTTCCTAATGGACTCTTTCAACATACATCGGAATGTTCTATGTATTGATATCTGTTTATTATGTGTATGTAATTCACACTAATTGAACTAAGGACATATATATATATATATATATAAGTACAGTATTAATGGGTTAAATAATAACTTATCAATGATTTGCTAAAACTCAAAGAGCAAACAAAGCATTCTTTAAAAATGTTAGCTCTCCAGTGAAGGAAGCAATTATGGATTGGGGAGAACTGACCTGAATCTTAACACTGTTGAGAAAAGTTTCTGTCCCACCAGGTCTGGCAGTTCAGTCCCATAGAAATACACAGAGGTCTACATTAATTAAAACTGCTTGGCCTAGCAGCTCAGGCTTCTTATTAACTCTTATATTATCCCATAATTCTTGTCTGTGTTAGCCATGTGGCTTGGTACCTTTCTCGGCAAGGCAGTCACATCTTGCTTGCTCTGTGTCTGGATTTTTCTATGTTGACTGTGGACGGACTCTTTCCTCTTCCCAGGATTCTACTGTCCTTCTTGCCCCACCTATACTTCCTACCTGGCTACTGGTCAATCAGTGTTTGTTTAAAATACAAGTGACAGGGTATAGCACTCCCCCCCCGCTTTTTTTAAACAAGAACTGTGAATCAAATCTACTTTGGTTAGCTTTTCTCCTGACCATTATCCATAAAAACTTGTAACAAACACTCTAAACAAAGAAAAACATCCATAATCCATTTGGAATGCGGGTGTAGTTTTCCAGGCTACTCTCTGCTGGTTGGGAGCGCTGATAATCTTATGGGGATCTAAAGAAAATTTTGAATTACAGTCAAGTCCTGACTGGAAAATTCTGTGAAAAATCATCTCAGCTAGCAGTCTTGAAACTGTTCTGAATGTAGAACTCAGAGGAAACTCCAACAGAGGTTCTTTGAAATGTTGGATCATCTGGACCATCTGCTCCTATTGGAGAATCTTCATGGGGTCTTCCTTGGTCAAACCTGATTTTTCTTAGCACAGAATATATCCACAGCCTCTCATGTCCTGTGGAAGCAAAAGCAAAACCTCTTCTTCAAAGTAACATACCTTTTGACTTAAATTTTGAAGTCAAGGCATTTTCAAATACATATGTTGGATTAATCCAGCAGCATTTATAAACAACTGTCTTTTAGCAGCTGTTGTTCCTTCCTCAGCCATCAAACCATTCAAAGACAACACAGTAACATACAGTATTCAGACTCTATTGTATTTTTCATCTTTACATGGCTTTATTTTAAACTCTATTTATTTTATTTTTAATTTTTGGCCTTTTTGAGACAGGGTTTCTCTGTGTATCTTTAGCTGTCCTGGAACTCATTCTGTAGACCAGGCTATCCTTGAAATCACGGAGATCTGCCTGCCTCTGCCTCCCAAGTGCTGGGATTAAAGGTGTGTGCCACCACATCTTGAACTCACAGAGATCCACCTGCCTCTGTCTCCAAAGTGCTGGGATTAAAGATGTGTGCCACCACACCCAAATACTCTCATTTTTTTTCTTTTTTCTTTTACAAACTTTATGCTTTTTCTTTTCTCTCCCAAGCCTACATACATTTTTAAACACACTGTAAACCTCTTAGAGGTTTTCTTCATCTATCTTTACTGTAGATTTCTTTTTCTGATCACATGAGTCTTTAATTTGCTAAGCAATATGGCTAGGATTAAAGCCGTGGCTTTGACGGCTAGATCCAGCCCATTCCTTAGCTTTTTTCTGAGAGTCTAGCCTCGTGGCAGAGGTACCGGCTGGAGCCATGTTTATTGCCACAACTCTATGGCATTTCAAGGTCCCTGACACCACCAAAAAGCACACTGTTGGCAATTCATAAACACCAACTAAGTGTTTGGTGGCAGGGCCTCTTAAAAGAACTGCAAGGTTTTGCAGTAAAGCTGAGTCAGGGAGCCTCTCTTAAAGGAGAGCACTTGCCTCTAGCAAGCAGAGCCCACCTGAGAAAGCGCTGCTATCAAGAAGCTGTCCTTAACTCTACTCTTTTCTGTCTAGAATAGCTTCCCAAGCTCTCTCAGACTTTTAAATAGATTTGGTCAGCCCCATGTTGGCATGCCATTCTGTGTGGGACAATGGTCTGTACCCTGTCACTTGTATTTTAAACAAATGCTGATTGGCCAGTAGCCAGGCAGAAAGTATAGGCAGTGCAAGAGGAATAGGAGAATCCTGGGAATAGGAAAGAGTCCAACCGTAGTCGACACAGAGGAAGCCAGACACAGAGCAAGTAACATGCAACTGCCTCACCAAAAAAGGTACTAAGGCACATGGCTAACACAGACAAGAATTATGAGCTAATATAAGTTATAAGAGTTAATAAGAAGCCTGAGCTACTAGGCCAAGCAGTTTATAATTAAAGTAGGCCTACGTGTATTTCTATGGGGCTAAAAGACTGAAGGACCTGGTGGGACAGAAACCTCTGTCAACACAACACTGTTGCTAAATTCAAGCTGTATGAAACACCCTATGGAAAATGCTTGTCCTAGAGAAGACAGAGCAGCAGTAAGGTCAAGGCGACTCTGGAGAGGTGCAGGATTTCACATACCATTTACTGAGCAGCAGCCATGCAGAAGGCACCATACGAGGGGCTGAGATGAAGGTTTAAGAAGAGCACATGTCTTGTGTTTTTCTCTTCCTTTTTATATTCTGGTTTGTTTGGAGTTTTTGTTTATTTGTTTTCTAAAAGGAGAGAAATAAAGGGAGTCTCCCACCCTTTCTTGGGTGGGTAAGGGAGGAGCTGAGAAAAGATGTTGGGGGAAACTCATGATCAGAATATATTGCATTAAAAACTTTACAAAAAAGAAGATATTTATTTGTGAGCTATAAAAGTAATATTTTAATTCACAAAGAAAGTTCCAGAGAAAAAAAAGAATGACAGAAAGCCTTTGTCTTTCCAAAACTTGTATACAGAAAGGGAAAAGCCCCTTGAAGATTTTAGAATGCACAGAGAAAAGATAAGGTGAATAGGAGAAAGAATGAATCATGTTTAAAATTTTTGTTTTTAAAAAATTGCTTCTTTTCCAGGAACCCCAATGGGGCAGACTCTATCAGATCAACTAAACAGCAGCAACCAGCAGAACTATGGCCACGTATTTTGAATTCTTTAACTAATAATGGTGAAATGAAGCAGTAAAATTCATTTTAATCCCACTGAATAGAAACTCTCAAAGTTACTGATTGGCTTGCATAGCTCCTGACTGCCATTGTAAGAACAGAACTGAAATAAACAGTAATTAGGGCAGAGCCATGACCGAGAGAGCCCCGCCTGTGGGCAGGTCCAGGAGACACCCTGGTAAGGTCTGGGTCACAAAGAATAAAGTGATGATGTGTCAATGTGAGAGGTTGGTCCACATTTGAAAACACCATATGCCGTCCTCCTGACTGCTGTAGACTTCAGCAGAAGTAGAGCACATTAGGTCATCCAGTTAAACAGGCACACTGCCTCACCTGCTGGCCTCCTTCCCAACCCTGCTGCCTGAAAGTCAGCCTGAACCAAAGGGGAAGCTCTGTCTCCAGTGGCTACATAATGGAGCTTACTACAAGCAACCCTGTGACCCATGCTGTTCCTTGCTCTTCCCATCTTTTCTAAAAGTGTAGACCCACCCAGAGAGGGAACACACACACAACTCTAAAAGATTGCTTAGGCTCTGAAGGAAGAACGTGCAAAGTAACTTGGAAACAAACAGCAAGGACACTGAGGCTAGTCTTAGACGTCGGGGAAGGTGGGAAACCACACAGAAGACGATGAGGAAGAACTCCCACCTCACGCCTGTGATCAACATATGCTAAGAGAACCTGACACATAAGAAAAAGTTCATGTTGTTGAACAGGGGACAAAGAAGGAAGAGAAAGAGAGAACACTATTAAAGTAAGTAGACTGAGGCCATAGTCAGTCAACTCAGACTTCACAGCACACCCTTCAGGCACTAAGGTTCAGGCAAGGCTGAACAGGTCTAATCATAAGAGACATCTCCAACTGCACTGAAGAGTATTCAACTGAGACACAGAGAGAAAACACTGCTGGGATTTGTGGGAAAGACAGCTCCAGTGAACAGTAGAGTAATCGAAGGGTTGATGGGACAGTGTTATGGGGTGTGGAGGAAATGACAACAGACACGCAGAGAAAAGAAGAGCAGCCACAGGTACAGGTTTAGGAAGCTGTGTGGTGATACTTTTTTGAGAAGCAAACAGAAAGATTGTGGGAATGAATAAAGAAAAGACACTGGGTTGACCAAAAATAATGCAATTCTAAAAACTGTAGGCTGGAAACTGTCAGGCGTACCCTGCTTTGAAATTCTAGGACAGGTAACGTGGAGTTGAACCGCTCAATTAAAGTAGCAAAGTTGGCAGACTAGATTGACAAAGGCGATCATCTGCACAGCCCTACCAATGACGATGCCAACTAGAATAGCAACAGCAAAGTAACAGGCAGCAGAGCTCAAAAGGAGACCCACAGATCAGAAAGGCCAAGGCTGATCTTGCAGGAAATGGTGGAAGGGTAAGGAAAGTGGGTGTTAAACAACATGAACCCGAGGACTGACAAGACATGTGGGGCACCCTGATGCACTCCCTCTATGCTGGTTAGTTTTTATGCCAACTGACACAAGCTAGAGTCACTTCAGCAGAGAGCAGCTCACCTGAGAAAAGCACTCCATACAACTGGTCTATAGGGAAGTCTGTGGGGCCAGTGTCATCTCTGGGCAGGTGGTCTTGGGTACTAGAAGCAAGTAGGCTGAGCAAGTCATGGAGAGCAAGCCAGTAAGAAACATCCCTCTGCATCAGCTCCTGCCTCCAGATTTCTGCTCTGTTTCAGTTTCTGTCCTGACTTCCTCTCTTGATGAACAATGATCCCTTCCTCTCCAACATACTATGAGCATGGTGTTTTATCACAGCATAGAAATCACAACCAAGATACCCTCCTAAATCAAGAGTGTAAACCCTTGTAAATTCACACACTGTGGGGCAGGATCATGGTAGAAAGTATTCTCTGGGATCCAAAAATAGAGAAGGGTACTTTTCCTGCTGTTCCTACCTACTTGGTGGGTGGAGCCAGAATGATTGAGATTCAATACCTGTGAATCATCTAGTTATGAAATCCCAATTTCAAAACATCAGCCAGGATAGAGAACCTTTGTAACCTCAACAGGGATACAAAGGGTTACTTTGAAGGGGCACCCTAGCAGGAAGCAGTGAAAACACACACCATTAAAGATCTCAAATGAGGATACAGTCCAGGGAAGTGATGTTCTGTGGACCCAAGAGTTAGCTGCCCTTTCAAAGACTGGGAACAGGCTTTCCACGTTGGTTCCTTTATGTCAGCTAAGGCAGTTTAAAGAAGCCCACGAAACAGCTGTGACCACTACACCACTCTGGCTCATTCTTCCACGTGACCTGGAGAAACTTGGCTCGCAATGCCAGAGTCTCTGCCCACAGCAGACACGGATCTCCCAGCTTTTCTCTCTGCACTAAGCATGTAAAACAGAAACGCAAACATAAACAGAGCATGCTCAGAAATGTGCCCACCCCACCCATGCATCCCTATAGGAGCATGTGTGGCTCTCCTGATAAACAGTGCTAGTGCTCTCCTTACTCAAGCATGAATCTCTACTCTGGCTGTGCTATATGGGTCTGTGCACTCACCAAGATGCAAACCCATTTGATCCTGTTATAAAGGGAGCAGAGATAAACCTCTGATCTACTTCTCCCATCCTCTCCACCCATCCCTTGAGAGGCCCTCCTGTTTGCTGACTCCATCAGAGGTCCAAGTCAAAGCAGGTCTCGGTAATGGAATTTGCTCCACAAGGCATGTAAGAATGGGTGTGGAGGAATACACCAGCACAGGCTCAAAAGACAGCAGCAATCTAATATTTTTCAAAGCAGTGTTATCAAAATGAGAAATGGGAGCTGGTGAGATGGCACTGTGATCAGAGGCCGCAGTGAACAAAGGTACCTGTGGCCAATCCTGACAACCCGAGTGCCATTCCCCCAGACTCACTTGAAGTAAGGAAAGAACTGACTCCTATAAGTTGTCCTCTGTCCTTCACACACATGCTATGGCACACACACACACACGCACGCACGCACGCGCACAGACACACAAACTCTAAAATGTGCAGTCACAAAAATTGAAAGAGGGTCAAGAGTGAGGGTCTAGAGTAATTCACCTTGTCTCTCTCTTCTTACCTTTGGCCACATCATACTCCTTAATCATCTTGAGAAAGTTGTAAATTTCCTTATCTAGTCTCTGTTGACATGTTTGTGTTCTCTGAAAGAAAAAAAAGGGGCAAAATTAAAACAAACCAATAAAGAATTTTCAAAATTATTTATGAATTAATGTTTCTATCAAAACTTTCAATTCAGATACATAAATAGACACTATACAACTGCATGAAATCACAATACTCTCTCATTACACCATGCATATGTGAAGCTAAATTCTTTGATTTGCTAGATATGAATAATTTCCCAAAAAATTATAAAATGCATTTCTTAAGGATACATTTAAAGCTCAGGAAAATAAGGTAAAGTCAATTATGAAGTACAATCTTCCTTGAAATTTTAAATGTTCCACAGTAAGATCCCTAGAAGCCAAACGTGAATGTGAAAATTCGTCCTCTAACTCACATCCCAGCCGTGAGCAGATTCAAAGAGCACAGTGCAAATCACTGTCGATTCTAAGCTGGTTTTATACAGCAGGAGGAATAAGCAAGAAAATCGTACTGGAATTGCTTGGCTGTGGTATTTGAAAATATTTATTCTGCGAACCAGGACTTGTAAATATAAGAATCACTACTGTGGGCAGAGTAGAGGGCTCAGCTTCCTTACCCTGTATTCGTAACCTCAACTGGCCAAACACAAAACATTTGCCTATTTAAAATTAAACTAGTGTAGCTGTGCACAAGGTGACACAGGTGAGCGCCCTTTTCTCCTATTCCACTGTATAAATGTTTTAGCGCTCATAAAGCTCAACCCAACCGCAGAATTATTCATGGGACCACATTAGTGACAGGCAGTATTCTCCTTTCAATGTGTTTTGAGACTCCTAATGACATCTAAATATAACACATGTTCACTTATTTATCAAGAAAGGAATGCTTATACTCTGTAATTTAAAGCCCTATAAAGAGAGACCTGGTTTGCTGCTCATTTTTTCAGGCAGTGCCTGTGAATTCAGGTTGAAAGATGGGAAGTCACTCCAGAAACACTGCAACTAAATGCATTACTCTTGACTTATTAATAGAAGGCATTCTTGCACTGTGCACGTTATTATTCCTGCTCATGGCCAAGTCAGTGCCACCTGCTTTCTCATTTCCTTTCCACGGTGCAAGCCGTCTAAGGAAGCATGGGCTCCAGCTGCAGACTCGTGATCTGATGCTAAACACAGCCCCCGGGTTACACTAGGACCTCACCACCCCCACAGTGCCATCTGTAAATGTGAAGTCATAGTGCACCTCCTGGGTTACACTAGGACCTCACCACCCCCACACACAGTGCCATCTGTAAATGTGAAGTCATAGTGCACCTCCTGGGTTACACTAGGACCTCACCACCCCACAGTGCCATCTGTAAAATGTGGAGTCACATGCCTCTTCACTTAGCATATTTACATCAAAGCTTTTTTAAAAAACAAAACAAAACGAAAAAAAACTTCTTTATTTACTTTTTGGAAGTTGCACACCATGCACCCAATTCCGTTCAACTCCTGGTTTCCCCCCATCCAACCTCCCCACTCTGTTCTCCCCTCATCCCTGCCACACCCCACACACAAAAGGAAACAGATCAAAGTAAGCAATCAAAAATAAAACCCACAACAAGAAAATCTTTCCTGTTTCTCCAACACCTCTTCATTCATCCTGGTGGGAATGGAGGCTTCAGTGTGCTGCATAGGATACCTCTTTGTCTCGTTAGTTTTACTGTCAAATGTTCCTTACAGTAAGTCACTGGAGTCTAACGGGAATCCTCTGGGATACCCCATGGCTGTCACTAGTCTTGGAGAGCTTGGGGGTATCATTCCACAGGCCCAGTCTCTTTCCCAGTTCCAGAAGGTCCTAGATGGGGTAGATGCTAGGGTGGGTCAATCAAAGACCGGGCTGTGGGCCTGGGTGGTAGCCAAGCTGGTCACTCTAGGCCCCTAGAGCCACCTATTTGGTCAAGTAGGTGGAGTCAGTTCCCCTAAATGCATGCCCTCAGGGTCGGTTCACCCTGGCCTGAGGTGTGGGGGCCATCTCTCCAGCATGCAGGGGACAGTTCTCAGGGCTAGCAAAGGGTGTGGTTGACTCAGCATGGCCCTTTGATTTCATCTCGCATGGTTCCTAGGGCCTCCTGAGATGGCACGGGCCACAGACATCCACACAGACCCCAGCTGTAGCTGGACCATGGACCCAGAAATAGGCCTTAGCAGTAGCTTGGGCCTAGTAGACATCCTGGCTCTGGGTGGAGGGACTGGTCACTCAGGTGGGAATGGTTGTGGCCCTATCCTTGGGCCTCTATGTAACCTTTGGTGGCAATGCAGGACCCAGACTTCAGCACAGACCCCAGCCATGGTAGAACCATGGATTCAGACATGGTTCTCAACAATGGCTGGGTCTGGATGTCACCACTGACTGCCCCAGTGGCAGTATGGACCTAAGACACCAACATGGCCCTTGATCTCTGGTGTCTGCACAGCCATCAATGGTAAGAGATGCACTGGATATCAGCACAGACCCTAGCTGTAGTAGGGCCATGAACCCTGACGTGGCCCTCAGTTATAGCTCTGATCCGGACATCATCATGACCTTTGTAGCAGAGCAGGCCACTCAGATCTGGATGCTTCCTGGCCCTTGGACACTAACCTGCACTCAGGTGGCTGATCTGACCCTGGGCATTCTCATGACTCTTGGTGGCAACAGGTGCCCCATATGTCAATCCAGACCCTGGGCCCAGATGATGCCATGACCCTGGGTGGCAGAGCCGTCAACTTATATCTGTATGGCCCTTGCTGTGACGTTGCCCTCAGATAACAACCAGAGCTACAGTCTCTGGTCCAGATCCCAGGCCTCTGTATTGGCCCTAGTAGCAACCTGGGCCACAGACTTCAACAGAATCTGTCTGCAGCTGGGTCATGGACCCAGACATGGCCTCAAGCAGCAGCTTGGCCTGGTCAGCATCCTAACTCCAAGTGGTAGCCCCAGCAACTAGGTAGAGGTGTGGCCCTGTACACCAACCTGGCTATAGGTTGTGGCTCAGACCTCAGGTTTCCTGTGGCCTTTCACTGTTCCCCTGACACATGGGGGTTAACATAGACCTTGGCTGTGGTGGGATCATGGTCCCAGACATGGTCCGTGGCAGCAGCCCAGGCCTGGTTGCCTTCATAGTACTGGGAGCAACAAAGGCTGCCCCAATCAGTATGGCCCCAGCAGCAGGATGAATCATGGACCCAAACAAGGATGAAGGAAGTGGCCCAGGCCACTGGAATCAGCATAACATTCAATGGCACCAGGAGTCATGGATATAAACACAAACCATGACTACTGGAGGACCAGGGATCCCATATGGCCCTTGGCAGCAGCCCAGACATCACCAACCATCATGGTACCAGGTGGCAAGCAGATTTCCCATTCCATCTACTCCTCACTTCCTGTCCCTGTGGATCCAGGTGCCCCTCAGTCTACTCCATCACCATGGATCAAGGTGGTATGTCAAAGCTTTTTTAAAATGCGTCTTTGCTCAATGGCTTGGAAGGGACATAAACATTAGCTAAAGAAGAGTCCATGAACATCAGCATTAACATAACTCCTGGCTGACACTGAGAGAAGATAGAAGTTTTAATAAAATGAAGCACATTCTCTAATTTGCTATCACCCCCACTCATAGCTATAAAAAGCAAAAACAATTTTCTGGGTTAGGCAGTAACTAAACACCTGTCAATCCTGGTCCTGAGGAAGAAGTTGAGGCCATAGTACCAAGAATTCTTGTCCAGCCTGAGATGACTATGTCTCACAAAAGTACTGTTTGTGGATACTTTGTGATATCTGGTCTGGTGCCTCATTGTTGAGTACTAGACCACTAACCTTATGCCGGGGAAACTGAAGTTTTAAATTTGATTTATTCATTATGTAAGTGAAGTCCCACTGTAAACATTATCCTAATATTAACATCTGACAGTATTTTTAACAATATGCCCAAGTCATCTGTGCAGAGTGCCTATACAACAGGGGTGACGCCCATGAACACAGAAGCCCGGTGCACCAGACAGCTCCTACAGTGAACAGCCCGCTACAACATGCATCTCCTGTACCAACTTCTGTCCACACTTTAGCTGTCACTTTCACTGACTGAAGATGATGTCCATCTACCTTGTCCTGACTAGGAGTGTCACTTAAAGCTGCATCAGGGGAGTGGGCAAGAGAACAGTGGGATGGGTAGGAAGGCTCTACATCTAAGATATCTGCTAGGAAATCCAAACTTGATTAAGAACAGAAGCACAGTACTTCGTATTTAGCAATAAAAAGTAACTACTAATATACACTACACTACGGACCACACAGCTATGTCCCCATGCAACTTGAGAGCAGGAAATCGGCAGTGCATCTAACAGTACTGCTCAACGTCAACGCCCTGAGACAGGACCCAGGGAGCTCCGTGAGGTGATGGGCAAGGTCTGCATCTTGACAGGTGAAGGAGTCACACAAGGTTCAAGATCGTTGGTCCTAATGTTTGCAGAAAATCACACTATAGAGAGTGGTACTCAGTGGTCGCCTGTGAGCTTTTAACTTCAGCCACATCTACCTCAAGGCCACCTCCAGGCTCTGTTTGCTCTCACATGAAGCAAGCTTTATTTTTCTGTTGCCTGGCGACTTAGCCTGGCCCTGCAACTATCTTTATGTTTTATGCTGTAACAAATATTCACATAAAAATAAAAGCTAAAATGATCTGGAAGGAAAGGTAATTCTCCCTCATACACTTGACTGCCATCCCTAACCCTGCTTTGCCATTTCCTGTCCAAAAGTAACAACTTCTATTTTCTCCTCTTTCCAGGGCTGTTCTACACCAACCTAAGTGTGTGTGTGTACACCCTTCTGTCCAGCTTTCTTTTCCACCAAGCAGTAGCTTTCTTTTGTTTCAGATTTTTGTTTGTTTGTTTTTGAAGCAGGGTCTAAATGTAACCCTGGCTGGCCTGAAAGTCACAGAGGCCCAGGCTGCCGTCAAGCTCAGGCAATGCTGCTGCCTCTGCCTCCTGAGTGCCGGGAGGACAGGTGTGCACCAGCCCCGCCTCCTGAGTGCCGGGAGGACAGGTGTGCACCAGCCTGTTTGCAGGCTCTGCACCTGAAGCCCATCAGTACATGGAGTGCGCCACATTGTGTGGTGTGCTGTCTGCTAGGCCCTCGGTTTGTGCACATGCATCTTTCTGCTAATTTATTTTAGTTAAGAATGACTTAACTAAATAAGTTAAATAAACCCACTTAATTCCATCATTTGGTTTAAATTTAGAATTCTCTGTCAATTATTTTGTATATCATAAATATAGTTGAGATCCTAAAGAATTAAGATGTCATCAACAAACACACCCTCACTTGGCTAGCATCACCCGGGATATCTGTGAGTCCATTCATTGCTGTTCATTGGGACTTCTGATGATTACAGAAATATTCTCTGCTTGCCTGAACCCTGAGCACTTGAGATGTTTTGGATTAAAATGAGGAACTGAGCCAGGTATAACAGCTATGCCTGTAATTGAGCACTCAGAAAGCAAAGCCAAGGCCAGCTCAAGGCCAGCCTGGGCTACAAAGCAAGACACTATTTCAAAAAAAAGCCAAAGTGAGTTAGTGAAATCTTAGTGTACTTTTGAAATGTGAAGAGCTATGTGTGGTTGGTATCAATTGCACTGGGCATTGCAAACCAATCTGGAGCTTGACTTCCTCTCCTAAGCTGTTCTCTGACACACTCTGACATGGGGCCCAGACACCAAGAATCAGAACTCCCCGAGTTACTATCCAAAGTACACTGCGCAGAGATATCTGTCATCTACAAAACCCGACCACATTCACACTGCTAAACTCTCACTGACTTCAGACATGCACTACACATAGAGCTTAAGGGAAAAACTTGATGGTTTGAGGTCAAGAGAAAAAATATTTAAAAGGGAATAAAATACAATGTATGCTTAACTGAAAACCTGCTTGAAAATTTGAAAATGTATTTCTAAAAATTTGTCTTTAAGCATGTATCTTAGTGACAAGGAAACTACTAGGTTTTTATTTACTTATAGTTCCCATTTAAAATGTTTCAAATTATCATAATCCTAGAAGACACTGCCTGCTTTGTAAATTCATATACATTTTATCACTCATATAGAAGGCAAATATATAGGAAGTCTTTCTCCTTGCCTAACTTTTCTTTTACTTATCAAATTTTAAAACATCTAGCATAATTTTTAAAGCTTTACTTAACATTCAGTTAGGTATCTAAATCACTATTTTTTAAATGTCTTTTTTAAAGATTTATTTTTATTTATGTGTAGGTCAGTCTTTGTGTGTGTGTGTCTGTGTGTGTGTGTGTCTGTGTGTGTGTGTGTGTCTGTGTGTCTGTGTGTGTCTGTGTGTGTCTGTGTGTGTCTGTGTGTGTCTGTGTGTAGATACCAACAGAGGCCAGGAGAGGGCGCTGGATTCCCTAGAGCTGGCATTACAAGGCATGAATACTAGGACCTAGACTACAAGAACAGCAAGTATTCTCAACCTCTGAGCTCCCTCTCCAGCCCCTATTTTCTAAGTTTTGATGTAATTCTAAATATTCTGGTGGATATTACTTTTGTAAAATGTCTGGTTTAAGAATTATGTTTGTGGCTATTACATTACATATTACACTTTAAAACAGTACAGATAAAGCAATCTCTAACATAGTCTAGCAGATATCTTCCACAAAGCATGGATGAGTTCAAATTCTCTGATATTCTGTAATAAATTAAAATTAGGAATGATGGAGCCTAACATTCTTTGCTCATCTAAGATTAGAAATTCCTATGTCACGGAAACTCTGTAGATATTAGTAAACTTAACGTCATTAGACGTGTTTAGTTAGAAACACGCAAATTCTTTAAATAGTCCACTTAATTTTCTTATGGTTAAATTTAGAAGGAAAATTTATGTACTTGAGATAACTATTTAAACTTAAACAGGCTTCTCCTTGTGGGTCTACGTCTCCCAGATCTACCAACATTTATGATAAACACGGTGCATTTAAAGGAGAGAGCCAGCAAAGTGACGAACTCCTGCTCCCCACAAGATACCTACTGTCAGGAATGGACAGGTACTATTGTCTTCAGGTAAGGATGTCTCCACTCATTCCTGATACTTTACCCTATCCCTAAGCAGTGGCCAATACATACTGCAAGCAGTTTTAAATGAAGCTACCGACCAAGAAATGTGTCACCATGGGTGCATTATTGAGACTCTGAAATATGCGGTGAAGTCATAAAGGGAGATGTCAGGCTCTACACTTCCCACCTGCTGGAGGTAGTTTCCACATACAAATGTATTTAACATGAAAACAGTAACATCACAGCATCTTCACCCAGACAGTTTATAGTACTATCATAGCAGAGGTATATCAATAGAATGCAACCAAACAAAGGGCAATATTATTTCCATTGTCAGAAATCTTACTTTCCAGAAACCATGATTGAGTTAGGTATAGAGGTTGAAGAGTGTCTGCTCACCTCTAAGGCCTCCTTCAGGTCCATGGGAGAAACAGCGTCCTCCTCTTCCTCGTCAGTCACCTGGTCCTGAGAGCAGTAGTGAGTGCTGTAGGCAGAGTGCTCCTCAATGGCTTCCAGCCACGTCTGCAACAACCCAAGAGTTACATACACACACCTCTGCTCCAAAAAAATATCTAGTAAGCATAAAATTTACGTGGAAGGAATTACTAGGTCAAAAAGCACCCAAACTGACATTCTGAGTATTTGTCTAAGGCCTGTCTGCATAAAAAGATATTCCTAGTACTCAAATATACAACAGAAACCACACAATGAAGGGCATTTTTTCACTGAAAATGGCTGGTTTCCAACACTGATGTACAGTTTAATGCACAGCAATAAACCTGAGCACAGTATTACGAACTTATCATTAAATGACACACAATAAACTTAGATCATCTTTAAAAAGTCAAATGCAATTAAAACTAGTTTGTAAAAACAAAGTGGACTAAAAATACTTCCGTGTTCACTTTTGGCAGTACGTGTGCTCAATCCCTACAAGTCTGTGAACTACGAGGCCATCGTGACTTCAATTATTTGGGGTTTCTTGCTGAACCGAGGCAAACCTTTTGGAAAAAGACTCTTTAAACACTTTATCAAGTTTTCTAAGCAAACAAATAAGTAAAAGCTAAGGCTATGAATTCTGCTTTAAGAAATAAGGATTTCCCATTAAGTCACTGAGCCACGAATCCTGTCAAAGTAGAGCCCGATTTGACTGCATGACAGTGTAGCTCACAGCAGGCTTAGCCAAGACCCCCTGGAAATCTTTCTCATCCCAGTCTGTCTTCTCTTGTAGCCCATTTCCATTCCTTTGTATTAGATGCCTATCCCCAGAAACACTTTAGACCAAGAATGCCCAGTGTCCACTCGGGGCTGGGACTTAGATATGTGATTTTTGCCATCCTTCCTGTTCCCTATCATAATCTCTTCAAACTTACTCTTAGTCCTGTAGCAGCTTGCTTGTAGAAACCACCCCACCCCCCACGCACCTTGATTGCTATAGGACTCCATCTCTTGGTACAGACCCTGTACCTCTAGTTCAGCGGTTCTCAACCTGGGGTCGTGAGCCCTTGGAAAACTGAACTACTTTTACACAAGTCACATATCAGATATCCTACATGTCAGACATTACTATTCATAACAGTAGCAAATTACAGTTATGAAGTAGCAACGAAATTATTTTATGGTTGGGGTCAGCACAACATGAGGGACTGTATTAAAGGGTCGCAGCATTAGGAAGGGTGAGAAGCGCTGCTGTAGGCCTTTCCCACAGCCACTCTCAGACTTCCCTTCTAGTCATTGCCACACCTTTAACGTCACCTGCTGACCTACACAACACTCTCTGCCAGGGTCACCGCAGCCACAACACTTGCCCAGGATTCAGACATGACAGCAGCAACCAAAGAGAGGAAGACCTGCACAAACAGAACAGATGTGGACTCAAACAACAACTTGCACATCCTAGCTCCAGGTGCCTAGATCCCAGCATAAGAATACAGTGTCAACAGCTGAGACAATGTGTCTGCAGTAGAGGCCAGCGAACCCGTTGCAGAAGGCCTTGAATAATGAAATGTAGCTAAAGCACAAGACACGGACTTCAAATGCAATTACGCATGCTTACATTTAGAGGGGGTGTGAATAAATCTCTTAATGAAGACTATGAAAACAAGCAGTTGAATGAAAAAATGAAAGCAATTCAAGACAAGAGTGTAGAATTTTCTAAAGAAATAGAATCACTAAAGAAAACCCAAACTGAAATAAAACTGGAAATGAAAAATTTGGAAGTCAAACAAAAACCTCAAAGTTAAACCTCACCAACAGAGCACAAGAGATGGGAGAGGAAGAGAGGGGGTCCCAGGTGTCGAAGACAAGGCAGAAGAAATCACCTCCGTCAAGATGATTTCAAGAACCGTCAAGAATGATAAATCTAAAAACTCCAGGCACAAAACAACCAGGAAATCTGGGACACTACAAAAAAAGATGGACGCCATGAATAATAAAAACAAAGGAAGAAGAGGTCAAAGAAACAGAAAATATTTTCAATAAAATCACAGAAGAAAATGTTCCTAATTGGCCCTGAGGACTTGAGATGGACGAGCTGACCCCGACAACCACCCCCACCCATCTGACATATGGTGGCATAGGTAAGGGAAAGATGCCCTTTCCCCTCCACCCCTTGCTACCTGCAGGCAAGAGAGTTGGCCTCTGGGATCACAGGAGTGAGAGGACTAGGCGTGCCCCCTCAATCGCTGTGGCACACAGGAGAGTGGGCTCTGCACCTTGTCTGGGCAGCACACAAGAGCTGACCCTGTTGTCAGGATCCCAGGTGAACCATCACTGAGGGTGTGGGAGCAAGAGCTCTCTGTCCACTGTGTTCCCCCACCTACAGCAATTAGGAGAAAGCACCCTGCACTTCACCTGGGCAAAACAGTAGAACTGGCCCTGGTGATGTGAGTGTGGACAGCCAGATCTGAGGACTTGAGAGCAGAGAGCAGGCCCTGTTCCTTGCTGCAGGTTGCATTAGGTGAGCTAGCCAAGGCAGTGCTGAAGGGGCTCACCCAGGTAGGGATAATGAGGGAAAGCTGAAGGGCTGACCAGCCCACTTCATCTATGAACTGCTGGAGCATGCGAAGGGGAAAAAACCCACAGATCCAAAACAGCAGGGTCTCCACAACACAGGACAACAGGATATCCAAGAGGAGACCCAGTGAGAGCCCATTATCAATCATTGTCAATAGTGCTGCAGAAGCCAGAGGTCTGGGGTCAGACCAACGACTCATAGCAATGGACACCGGGCCACACCATAGCTTCCACAAGATTCTTTTGTTTGGTTGGTTGTTTTTTTTTTTTAATTTTCTTTTCATTTTGTTTTGTTTTGGGCAGGAAATAGCAAAGGCAGAAGGTGAACACAAGGAGATGGGGAGGTAAGTGGGATCAGGATGCATGATGTAAAATCCACAAAGACTCAACAAAAGTTAAAAAAAAAAGGTACATATGAAGTTACAAGAAGCATACAAAACTCCAAATAAATAGAACAAGAAAAGAATTCCTTACAATATAATCAAAACACTAGATGTGTAAGAACACAGAAAAGATATTAAAGAATACAAAGGAAACAAACCAAGTCACATGTAAAGGCAACCCCATTAGAATAATACCTGATATCTCAGTGGGGCCTCTAAAAGCCAGAAGTGCCTGGAAGGATGTTCTTCAAAGTCTGAGACACCACAGATGCCAACTTAGACTACTATACCCATCAAGATTATCAATCATAATCAAAGAGAAATAAAAATATTCCACAATAAAATCAAATTTAAGAAACTTCTATCTACCAATCTGGCTCTATAGAACACACTAGAAGGAAAACTGAATATAGAGTGAATAAATAGTCCAAGACCAGCAAATCAAATGGTGGGGGAGTCACATCACAACAAATAATAGGAATTAACACAGCTCATTGATAATACTCAATACTAATAATCTCAATTCCCCAATCAAAAAGATGCAGACTAACAGATTAGATTAGAAAACGGGATCCATTTTCTGCCGTATCAAAAAAAAGCCCCTTCCCATCAAGGATAGATAGTCACCTCAGGGTAAAAAGATGGAAAAGGCATTTTAAACAAATGAACCCAAGAAGCAAGCTGATACAGTCATTTTAATCTCACAAAATAGACTCCAAAACAAAGCTAATCAAGAAAATAGGGAAGCACAAGGCACATACATTAAATGAAAAATTAACCAAGAGTATATTAGAATCTTAAACAATCATGCACTGAACACAGGGCACTCAAGTTCATAAAAGAAACACTACTAAGGCAAAAATTACATTAATCCTCACATTGTGATAGAAGGTAACTTTAATACCTCACTCTTCCCAATAGACAGGTCACCCAGACAAAAACTAAACAGAGGAACACTGAAGTAAAATAACATCATAAAAGCTGGGTAGTGGTGGCGCACACCTTTAATTCCAGCACTCAGGAGGCAGAGGCAGACGGATCTCTGTGAGTTTGAGGCCAATCTGATCTACAAAGTGAGTTCCAGGACAGGATCCAAAGCTACAGAGAAACCCTGTCTCAAAACAAACCAACAAACAAATAAAAAAACAAACAAACAAAAACAATGAACCTACCATACATTTACAGACACAAAAGAATATACCGTCTTCTCAGCAGCTCAAGGAACTTTCTCCAAAACTAATTACATAGTTGGATATAAAAGAAAAGTCTCAACAGGTGCAATAAAACTGATATAACACTCTGTATTCTATCTGATCATCATGGATTAAAGCTGGGTATCAATAAAAATAGAAACAACAGAAAGCTTACAAACTCATGGAAACTAAAGAACTCACTTCTGAATTAAAAATGGGTTGACACAGAAAAAAGAAGAAAAGTAAAAAGCTTTCAGAATTGAGTACAGAAGCACAACACACCCAAACCTACGGAACACAATGAAGATGGGCTCCAAAGGGCAAGTTCATAGCACTAGGAGACAGTACCAAATAATGAAAGATATTTCATATTAGTAGTATATCAACACATCTAAAAGCTTTAGAACAAGAAGAAATAACACCCAAAAAGAGTAGATTGCAAGAAATAACCAAACTTACAGCTAAAATCATTGACACAGAAACAACAAAAGAAATATAAAGAATCAATGAAATTAAAAGTTGGTACTTAGAGAAAATTAATAAGACTGCCAAATCTTAGTCAAATGAACCAAAAGACACAGAGAGAAGATCCAAATTAATAAAAAGGGTATATCTTAAGTAGGGCTTTTATTGTTGTACTAAAACACCATAACCAAAAAGCAAGATGGAAGCAAATGGTTTATTTGGCTTACACTTCATCATCAGAGGAAATCAGGACAGGAACTCATGCAGGGCAGGAACCTGGAGGCAGGAGCTGGTAGAGAGGCAATGGAGGAGCACTGCTTACTGGCCTGCTTCCCCTGGCTTGCTTAGTCTGCTTTCTTACAGAATCCAGGACCACCAGTCCCAGGATGGCACCACCCACCATGGGCTGGGCCCTCTCCCATTGATCACTAATTGAGAAAATGCCTTACGGCCGGATCTCATGGAG